GGTATGTCCGCTATCCGGATACAACGTTTCTAAAGAAGTCCTCGAGGTCCTCATGGCTTCATGGAGGCCGGGCACCAAGGAACAATACTCAACATACCTCAATAAATGGCTGGATTTTTGTAGTAAGAGGACAATTGATTACAGTTCACCAAGGATAACCGAGGCTGTGGAGTCCTTGATGACATTACATAGCCAGGGATTGAGTTACTCCAGCATTGATACAGTACGATCAGCATTATCATCTATTCTAAAACTTGACTGTGATAACTTTGGAACTCACCCACTGGTCACACGTTTTATGAAAGGTATTTACGAGTTAATCAAACCAAAGCCAAAGCACAATCAAATATGTGATGTCTCACAAGTCCTGGATTACCTTAAAACATTGTATCCGTTAGAGAAGCTATCTCTGAAGGAACTCACAACAGTCATGTTACTTCTGTTAGTAACTGGCCAACGAAGGCAATTCATCCACCTACTATCATTAAATAGAATACAATTGACATCCCAGACTGCCTATCTGTCACTAGGTGAACACACTAAGAGAAGCAGACCCAACAACGCAACATCTGCAGTAACGACTACTGAATTTACTCCTGACAGTAGAATATGTCCTTTCACAACACTGAAAGCTTATATGAAGAAGACAGAAACACTACGGAATAGAGAAAACAAACTGTTCACAAGTTTCATAAAACCTAACAAGGCTGTGTCAAGAGACACTATTTCCAGGTGGACAAAGCAGGTTTTAACAAACTCTGGTATAGACACAAAAATTTTTACTTCATACAGTACAAGAGCTGCCTCAGCAACAAAGGCCTATCAAAAAGAAATCCCTCTAGATACCATACTGAACACAATTGGTTGGGAATCAGCTAAAACATTCCAGAAATATTATCATAAACCGGTGCTAGGCCCACGAGGAGCAACACTAGCAGAAACAGTTTTGTCTTAGATTCACTTATCTTTTTTCTTATAAAATGTTATTGTTCTTATGTCAAGATGTAATGACACTATACACTCTGCAGCATGAGTGAAATTATTGATTGATATATTAATATACTTTATTGATTTATTGATATGATATCCATCATACGAATTATCTAACAAACTTTTTATTGATTGAACATCAATAGCATTTAAATCAAAATATATTTACAATTGGTACGTAATTGTTTTATATGACATACTTAGATGGCTGTGTCAGAGCTTTGAAGTCTCATGGGCTCTACATGCCTCCGTTCATGTGATAGAATTGGAAAATTAAATGAGACTTACCTGTAAGTTGAAGTTTGATTGAGATTAAATCACATGACCAAGGAGGCAGTAGATCACATGCCCACCCCGTCAGCTATGAGATCGCATCCCTGTTATTCTTATGCGAAATATGGGAATCTGGATCGTATCTGACACAACCTCTGGCTTTAAAAGAATGACTTGACGCAGGCGCTGTGCTATGTCATGTGATCTCCTGCCTCCTTGGTCATGTGATAGAATCTCAATCAAACTTCAACTTACAGGTAAGTCTCGTTTAATTTTCCAATTCCAAGAGCAATGTCTGGTTCAGGGGTGGCAAGTGGCATCCTTTTGCACACAATCATAAAAACGTGGTTTGGTGTGTTTTTCGTTATTTTCTTCAAAACAATGCATAGTAACATAAAACAGTTATTAGACTCGCTCCTTGTGATATCCGGAATAATCAAGTTCTCGGTAAGTGTGTCAGCCCAGGCGGGCTATCTTTAAAGCGAGAAAGGGGAATCTTTCGAAGAGGGAATCTTTCAAATGGGGAAACTTCAAAAGTGGGAATTCTTATATCTCCGAGTGCTAAACTAGATAAAACGTCATTTAAAGGCCAGGGACAGCAAGGATGCATTCACGAAAGTTGTGCGAGTTTCCTGTTGCCATATTTTCTTTTCAAGGCTTCATTTAGTACGCTAGTAGGAGCTTTAGATGTAACGGCTTATAAAAGCGTTGAATGTGTTTGAAATAGAGCAAAATTTACCAGAAACTTTTCTATCATTTCCGTGTTTTATCGCTTTTTATCCCCATTAATTCGCCCATTCCAGCGTTTCATTTTATTTTGTTTCTTCTGTAACAATAGATAAACTCAACAAAGCGTCACAAAGGTTTGTTTTTACATTTCAACACTTAATTTAAAATATTTATAGTTTATCTCACTATATGCCCTATATCAGAGTAGACAAAATACTCAAGCCAACTTTCTGATCATAGGCCGGCTGACCTGGCTCATGCCAAAGGAATGAGGCCGATATTTTAGGAAAAATCAAAAGATAGTTACGTTCCTACTTTTATACATTCCTGATCATGTTTCCATTTACTAGTGGGGTGTGAAATTCCGGCAAATTAATCAAACAACAAAGACCAACAAAAAGAAAAAAGAAAGAAAAAGACGCCTTAGACGTTGGACTGCTGTAAAGGAGAATTGAAGATAAAGAATACCAAAATATTTCTGTGGTGATTTGGACTGCCAGACCGTGACCGTAAAAATATAAACGACATTATAATGAAAACGATAGTTATACTTTAAAATCCCGCGGCCTTGCTGTATACCAAATTTCCTTACAGTTCTTTTTAGCATGGTCTTAAGAATGCATTGCGTTAAGATGACGTCAATAAGTCGACGTTTTACACTTATTTTTACTTGTCTTTGCTTCTGAAATTCGCTGTTAATTGATCAAAATTATATATGCATTTCCGTTAAAGACGCATGTGAAATGATGCATTAGAAACCGGCGTAATCGCAGCATTCTTCGCTCGAGTTTATCGTTGAAATAAATTAAAGCGAACTGCTGGGAAGGAAATTCATTTAGTGAAAAACAAGACAGATTCCAGCGGAGCAGCAGAAAAATTCAAAACCTTTATATATACCTAAAAGATACCGTGGTACGTGTTCGCTGCGTTAATTAGACAACATGGCGGAAGAAATCCTTCGACAGTTTTCATGCTTAAACGTTGTGTGATGATCCGTTCGAGTCCAGTGTAGATTCAAACCGCCTTCACAAATTTGAATGAAGTTTCAGTGGTTCATGTGAGAGTGAAAGATCTGGACAAATTTATAACTGGCGTAATACAAATTATTCATCCCTTACGTTAATGATACCTTTAAAGAAACGCGGCTTGGGAGAGCAAAAACTGTTAAAACGTTTACGTAAAGAAAAAAATCTCACCTCTGTGTCTCTTGCAAGAATCGCGCATGAATTGCATCGATAGATTAATACACACGGTATCTGAGCACAGATCAGATTTAACCAGAATTCTGATAATTAAGGCACCCTAAAATCATTGTTTCTCGGAAGAACGCGAAGGCTCACTTGAATTCGGGGAACAGAGGTTCAAAGTAGCTACTTCCCAGGGTCCTCTCTTCTCCTGCCCGCCGAGGCTATAAAGGCCAAAGAAAGGATCCTGGGAACGAGGTTGCATTGAAGCAGCCCCTCTCCTCTCTAGTCAGGTTGGTTTGTTTAAAATCAATCTTTTCTTGATCTTCTTTTTTAAATTCGGAAATTTTCTAAAGTTTGTTAAAATAGCTTGCTTCGCGACAGGTGTCGCATTATGTTTTAAGCTCGGTTTACACTACAGAAAGTGTTAAGTGCGGCTTAGGCCGGGTGAAGTTGGCATGGTCTCCCAAAAGGTTAGGGTTCAGATAAAATTTGTAGGGTAAACAATCAGTCCGTACCAAATGTCATCCGTGCCGAGCCCAAATTTTTACCCTTGTTGGGACCTTCCGCGAGGTAGTCCGATCACGGGCAAAAATTTTACTAGTGCCGAAAAAAATCGGTTCGGCTCGGAATGTGGTGTAAACACTTGGGCCAAATGTCAGCCTTTATCTGTACAGGCTAATGGCTTTTTTGCGTACACTTCAAGACGGCTGTCCATTCTCCATTCGAAGCCAATCATGCACTGCTGCGGCGAAATGCCCAAACTGTTCTATCAATGCCGAGTTCCCTTTTTCTTTTCCGTTTTCTAGGGCAAAGGTGTCTTGCTGGCAAATGTTTGTCTATTTCCGTGTCTTAATAAATGATACACACTCATGTGCGTTTTCAAAAGTAAATATTGGCGCACAGTACGAGAAATACACTTGTACGTGTGGACTTCATATCGCAGTGGTTCTCGGCACTGGAACAATTGCAAATCTGACATGAAATTTCTTAAAAGGACGAATTGACATCTATTGCTGTTGCTGCTAGTTGCTGTCTTCTTCAAATGGCTTGAATGGCTCCATAGCTAACTTATATATCACCCGCTTTCAAAGAGTATGCATCCGAGATACCATTTCTGACGCTAAGATACTAAATAGTTTGGGGGCCATTAGGGATCAATATTGTGTCCAGTAATTTTTACTAGTTTCTCAAAAGGATGTCTCATCGCACAACTGTTACTCTAAAACTCTTCTTGGCTCACATGTAAAAATGGTACAGCGTTCGTCCGCATTTCTGAAGGTGTCATCAAACGGCCATGTTTGATTCGTAAATGCTGCATTCTATCTAAAATTGGGAGTTACTTTTAAGAATAAGTCCACAGTCTTCGTAAAAGGACCAGTTATGATTTTTAATTAAAGACAATTTCCAAAAAGGTTCTGCGGGGGAGTTCGACTGTGACCGTTACTAAGATACAACTTAGAGTGTACAGAAAACCCTGAAATTTACCCAGCAAAATTCCATCAAGGAATATGGTAGTTATCAAGTTCTACTAGACGATCGTCTTACACCAAGGAAATATAATTTAGATACTCGCTTTAACCCAAGAAATGAGATATTAAGAAAGGTGTAAACGAGTTGCTTACTGAGTCCCGCCGTATAAATGGTAGCAGGGAGTTCCACCCTATTTCTGTAGGCATCATAAGATCACTACAGTCATTCTGCTGTGTTTGATGGGTAACTGCTCCATTTTATCCAAAAAATGAGTAACTTTTTTTAAAAGGTGAGTCAGGAGTCTTTGTAAAAGTACAATCAGCAAAGATATTTTGTATTCAAAGAAGATTTTAAAAAGGTTTTTGAGGGTTCAATATGCTATACTGTTACTAGGACACTTAGAGAGTACGAAAAACTGTGAAATTTACCGCGCAAATGATGTAAATTGATTTAAATGTTATAAACTAAAGTGCGACTTGTCGCGAGGCGCACACCAAGGATCTGAAGACTTACTTCTCTCAAAAGCAAAAAAGGAACTGAGATATTTTTGATACCAATTTGGGGTCATACTATAAGCAACAGCGAATAAGAACCTAGTGGATTAAGAACTTCCTGGCGGAAATTAGCCACATTCATACCCAAAAAATACAAAAACCTGTTTAGCAAGATCAAGCAGGTTAATTTATGATAAGTAATTTAACCAAAGAGTGTAACTTTGATATTGTCCTAATTTAAGTATAGTCGAAGTACAACAAGAACATGCTGTACCAGACTGTGTAATCAGTTTTGTTAGAGTTATAACAATACAATAACAGTGTTATTATTATTATTATTATTATTATTATTATTATTATTATCATTATCATTATCATTACCATTATTATTATTAATTATCACTATCTTTTTTCTCAATTATTGCCAATAAATACTGTATTTTTAAGGAGCCAACCCAATTTTATTTATTTTTCTGGTAATAAACAATCTGTTATCTTCTTCATAAGAATTAAGAACCTAATTAAGAACCTACTTAGCCTAAATTACCAATATGTACCCTAAAACACAAGACCCTATTTTGCGAGACTTCAAGAAAGTACTAGGTTCTTACTCGCAGGTGTTTACTCTATGCTATGATACTTGCAATTTGCTACACATCGTTAAAGCGATAAATAATTGCTTTGATACCATTTTGAGGCCATTTGCGTGTATTATGAAGCCGTAAAAGCTTTGACTCTCTTCATGTTTTGATAAAAGCTATTGTTTG